TTAAAAAGATAAAAAAATTCAAAAAAATCGAAAAATCGAAAAATTGGATTTTTATTTTCCCTTCCCTCGAGAAAATAAAATAATAACAATAAAATATAAATCATGCTAATAATGAAAGTGGATCCCCTTATTCCTCAGCTGTTTGCTGTCGACTGCATCCTGCATCCTTTTGTACAGCTGTAACCGAAATAGGCTTGCTCCATTGTCCCATACTTACTATCTTGAACCGTTGACGTTTTAGTCTTTTCGCCTGATCACATATCTAGGTAATCCACTGGAAATACTTCATTTAATTCCCTGCCCGTCCAGATTTCTCCTTTTATGTGACCTTCCCTCTCTCTCCGCTATCTTTCTTAAATACAATCCACTTGCCTCCGTGGACTGCAGCGCTTTCTTTCTCTTCTCCTCTCCATCTGTTGCACTCCGCTACTATATCTGCTACCTTAGTACTACATACCCATTAGCCCTACTCTCCTACCACCTCCACCCGCCAACCCATCATCATCATCATTACCCTTACACACACCCTCAATTGAACGACGACGGACCAGCCTTTCTACTTCTACTCCTCTTCTGCTTCCAACTTCCTCCCCCTTGTGATTTTCTTCTATCACTGTTGGGGTTCCTCACCACTCAAAGTTTGCGTCATTGGATTCCCTTGCAGTTACACAGTCTAGCCGTTTCTCGGGAACAGAAGCACGGAAAATATAATCTTAAAAAGATTAAAAAGGATTTGCAGCATCGATTGACGACAGGGGGGTAGAAATGTTGAACCCCCTTTAACAAAAACGAGTCCTCTTGTCTTCAGTCCAGCGATCTTATCATCATAACATTCCCTCCCTTCGGTTACAGCGGAGATTCCAGCCGAAGACACATTCCCCGAAATCATTGGCCATTGGCCTCGCATATTGTCTTGCTCTATATTATTATTGCAAGAGACGCAGGCCGATATCGCCCTCCGTGTTTGATCTCGAAGACTTCACGCGGACAACAAACACAACAACAATCTTCAATTCATCTTTCCTTCTGTTGAGAGAGTGAACCAAGTGGGTGACCGCTCAACCAACATCATGTTCAAACGACCGTCATGTTTACAAGGCCGGCGGCATGGTGAGGGCAACGGTGATTGGACCGCCTTCCCTGTCCGCCAGCTCTTTGTGCTAGGTACGTTTTTTTTCTTCTACTGGACTGATTGTTGAGACAATTCCTTTGCGCCCAATTCCCAACCGTGATCGTGCATATAGCAAATAGGAATTTTTTTGTCCCTCGGCCCATTACTTTGTTCCGGTGTCAATTGCTTGTTATTCTATTTTATTGTTTCTCTCTATTTTAGCTTTCTGTTTGGGTACCTGATTCCTGCGCATGCACGCACCCCTCTCTCTTCTACTACTACCTCTTATTGCATGTTCCTTCCCCCACGCAATATCATACTAGTACTATTGGCCCCACGGTCCAATGGAGACTGACAGTGATACCAGCACTATGCCGCATCTGCGAACCAATCGCGTTTATGTCCATATTCCCCTATGTTTACCAGATGGTCGAATCTTTCCACGTAACAGATAACGACCGCAAGATCGCCCTGTATGCTGGAATGATTACATCGGCCTTCACCTTTGCAGAGTTCTCCGCAGGCATGTTCTGGGGTCGGATGAGTGACAAGATTGGCAGAAAGCCTGTCCTCGTCATGGGCTTGATTGGAACTGCCATTAGTATGGTTGTTTTCGGGTTCGCTCCCAACTTGCCAACTGCCATGATCGCCCGGGCACTGGGTGGCCTGCTGAACGGCAACATTGGCGTGCTTCAAACCACCGTTGCAGAGATCGTCACTGTCAAAGAGCACCAACCCCGGGCCTATTCCATCATGCCGTTCGTCTGGTGCCTTGGGTCGATCATCGGGCCCGCTATGGGTGGTGCGTTGGCACAACCATGCGACAATTATCCCGGATTATTCCAACGTGACACCATCTTCGATCGCTTTCCGTTTCTGCTGCCCAACCTGGTCTGCGTTGTCGTCTTGGTGTCCGGCATCGTTGTTGGCCTATTGTTCCTGGAGGAGACCCATCCGGAGAAGAAGCATCGCCGCGATCCCGGCCTGGCGTTGGGCAATTGGCTCGTTGCGAAAGTCTGGGGTTCTCCCGAATCCCTCCCGGAGCCAACGGACGCCAAAGCGGAATTGACCGGAGAGGGAGAGTACTACGACTACGAGGATGTCCCTCCGCCAGAGTACAGAAGCACGGAAAGTTCGCCTCGTCTGGGTCCGATGAAAGAATCGGACAACCTGTCTGCGGATGACGACATTGAGGGGCAGATGAAGGGCGAGCCGTGCGCAACTCCCAAGGCTTTCACCAAACAAGTCATCTTCAACATCATTGCCTATGGCATTCTTGCATAGTAAGTCCCCTCTCGTTCCCCACTTCTCTTTCCCCCGCCATTCTTCAGACGCTGACTTTTGCACAACAGCCACAGTGTCTCCTTCGACCAACTCATGCCCGTCTTCTTGAGCACCCCCAAGTCGGACGACGATGTTGTGCTTCCCTTCAAATTTACCGGTGGTCTGGGACTGGCTACGAGTAAAATCGGCTTCATGTTGGCGGTGCAAGGCGTCTATTCCATGATCGCGCAGCTGTGGCTGTTCCCATTCGTTGTTCGTCACTTTGGAACACTGAGAGTTTTCCGTTTTGTGTTGCTCGTTTGGCCGCCTCTCTACCTCATGGTCCCTTACCTTATCCTCCTGCCCGAACAGCTCCAAACTGCCGCGGCCTATGTCGCTTTGATCAGCAAAATCACGCTGCATGTCATCGCATTCCCTGCTACTGCTATTCTTCTCGCCAACGCTGCCCCGTCCTCTAGAGTCCTCGGTTCCATCAACGGAGCGGCCGCCTCGACAGCTAGCTTGAGCCGCGCTTTCGGCCCAACAGTTACTGGCTTGCTTCATTCTAAGGGTCTCGAAAGTGGATACTCCGTGCTAGCCTGGTGGGCTTGTGGAATAGTGTGCATCCTTGGCGCCATCGAGAGTTTTTGGATGGAGGAATCGGAGCGAGACCAGGACGTGGAGAAGAAACCCGACTGCGATGGCCCAACTTCGAACCGTGACTCGTTGCGGGGTTCCTTCACTGCAGGTAAGGAAGACGGCTCTCCCGAGGAAGTGCGGAGATTGTTGTCTTCGGCGCGCACCAGCATCGATGACCTGGACGTTCCCAACGTGGACTTAATGCAAGCCAACCTGAACGTCACTTCCGAGCCTGAGCCTGACAAGTCGAAGCTCAGCCAATAGACCTGTCCGACTCCTGTTTCATTATCGCGAGAGGCACTGTCGCTTCTTCTCGTATCATTGTCTTTTCTTAAACTACTCTTCCTTGGAGGCTTATTTCCTTTGCTCAAATTCGCATTGCCTTGCCTTTGCTACTTTTTGCTTTTGTTTGATTCTTGGCTCATATTGGGTGGTATAGCCTGACTCTTTTTTGTTTTTGTTTATTCCTTGACTTTACCTTATCCCCCATTATTTCCTTTGCTCTCCATTATTTATGTTTTATATCATGATTTCCAATATTGGGCGATGGCGCAGTGTATAGACTGGGTGCATATGTGACAAAAGCATGAGGGCTGGCAATTCTGTCTTTGATTTTGGGGTTACCGCGGGGATTCATTGGGCACGCATATGATTTCATGCATCTGGGAGGCTCGTTGTCATTATTGCTACATTCAACCGCACTATTTGCAGAGAAGAAAGAAGAAGAATTCATTGCCGGGGGCAAGGTAGAGAGCAGCAGCATCTCTCCTTAGCCCTGTCGAATTAAAAGACATAACACAGAGTTTCTTGAAGCGTACTTGGTAGTGTTTTCGCCATCAATATTCTTTGGTAGATACTGGCAATATTCTCCATAGTGATATTGACACCTTCATGCTGGTACTATTCCTTGTACCTTGCCCCTCCGCTCGGTCGCCGGGGTCTGAGTGAGTTTTCCTCGAGGCTCTGACTGAGTAATGCAACCTTCCCCTCTTCCGACTAGCCACGCCTTGCAGCCATGCCACCTGTAGTAGTGCTGTCGCGTCCTCTTTTAGTGCGGGGGTGCAGCTGAGATCAACGAGGGGAGGGGGCTGGTGTTGGAACTTGGAAGGGTCCCTAGCCACCATCCTTCCAACTAAACTGGCTCTAAGCGGTCATTATGACAGCTCGTGTAGGAGAAATATGATCTAGGACATAACTCTGGGTCTAGCGCACAGCGCTACCGCATTGCTTCGAGTTCCGTAAGCTGCGATCCTCTGGATTGACAGGAAGTGGAAGAGGTACCTATGAACCGTAGTGCTTCTCCATAGTTAACTAAGTAGCTACTTAGCTAACTAACGTTACTTGTTAGTTAACTAGTTACTAGGACTGACAGGCCGCGGTTCGGATGACAAATTTCATCTGTGCCATGGCCCCAGCTTATCAGTAGCCAATCATAACACAGTGTCGTTGGGCGGTGTCACGTGGAACAAGTCCAGTGGTATCGGTATTGTCACCAATTCGGCTTCGGACAACTTCGCTTCAGCATCAACGGTGAACCTGGAACCTGGACTTGGTTTCCCTCAGTGCAATTCTTGTCATTATCTATATCGTTTACTTGGCATCAATTGTTGCGTCTACATCATTGTCTTAGCATTGCCATGCTTACCTAGTTGACACTCTTTGACTGACATACGTACGTCTCTCACTACTGATACTAGTGCCGGCTGGCGGCACTAACCACGATACTAAATGTTCCTACCTAGGTACCGGACCCAAAGGTGCCCTTCAAACAACTCCACCAAAATTTGCCCTATCTTGACTTTTGATGCTTGCTTTTTCTCTTCCTCACTCATCAGTCGTCCATAATCCAGCCCGTCCTTTCACTCCCCCCGTCTAGCCCTATCCGTGTATTCCTGCTGCGACCGGTCCCCTCCGTCATGCGCAGCGACTGTGCCCTCCCGTCCAGATAATATCGCCTTTCTGTCCTGTCGGATCGCGGCACTAACGAAAAGTCCGAGCATCGGGACAGCACTGGCGAGTCAGCCCTCCGTCGAATCGCTGTCCCCGGATATCGAATCGGATACCCCGGTCTTCGAAGAACAAAGGCGCAAAAGCAGAACATATTAGCGCATGGGGTTTGTCCTATCATGAATGCTGATTCGGTTCTGGGTCTCCGGTACACCATCTCCGCATCTCGCTTGTCCGATTCCAAATTCTCCCCTCCGAGACATGGTCGCATGTCTACTCGACTCTTCTGCGTACCCTTCTCGTCATGCTGAACCCTGATTCTCCTCCTTCGCCGACCTCCATAGGGAGGAAACGTCCGCATCCGCCTACCGAACCTGCCTCCGTCCCGCCAGAGCCGTCGGCGCAATCTCACCAGCAACAACAGTCAGCCACTGACGGCCCTGCGACTCAGTCCGCCTCCACCGCCGCCGCCCCCTCGACCTCCAATTCATCCTCGTTCCGGAATGTCTCCGCATGTAATCGCTGCCGTCTACGGAAGAACCGATGCGATCAGAGGCTGCCGCGATGTCAGTCCTGCGAGAAGGCTGGCGTCCGATGTGTCGGATATGATCCGATAACGAAACGCGAAATCCCTCGCAGTTATGTCTACTTTCTTGAGGCCCGTGTGGCGTATCTGGAGAAGGTATTGATAGACCATCAGATATCCTACAAAGACCCTGTCGCCTTCGACGAGGAGGAAGCCGTGAAAATCGAAACTGGGATTGATACTGCGCCGGCCCCGGTAGTTGGCTCAGAAGGCTCGGTTCCGGCAACCGGTGATGGAGCCAGCGGCTCGGATAATAACGAAAAGTGGGTGAAAAAGGAGAAGGATGGACTCGTGCTAAGAAGAGAAGAGAGCGATCCCACTGGTCAGACTTCGGAGAACAACAACCAGGACTCGCAAAAGGAAGACAATTGGCGCATACATAATCTGGTTTCGAACATAGGCATGGTGTCTGTGCAGGGAACCTCTGATCCCCGATATCTGGGCTCTACCTCTGGTATTTCGTTCGCTCGCGTGGTTTTTGCCGCCGTCAAGAGTTCCGTGCCAGGGAATGTTGCAGAGCGCGGGCCAATGCGCCCGAATGAACGTTTGCCGCATAGTGCTACGGGGACAGGTGGAAGTAGCATGCGTGATTCCTTCTTTGGATTACAGACCAGGTCTATGATGAAATGTGCTGCATTCCCGGATCGAGAATTGGCTGAGAGGCTGTCCAATCTCTATTTCGAGCATGCGAATCCACAAATGCCCATTCTGCACCGGGCTGATTTCATGGAGATGCTTGATCGTACATACTCGCTAGATGAAAAGAACCGCTCCCCTCGCAGTCTTTACATTCTCAATATTGTATTTGCCATTGGTGCTGGAATTATATTCGAGGACAAGCCATCCTCTGATGAGAAGGAAGATGGCCGCGAGCATTCTCCTTCAGCTTCATCCAAGCGACCCCGGCTTTCAAGCCATCAGCACCAGCCGGAAGAGTATCATGCCTCTGCAATCATCCATCTGGAGTCTTTCCTGGGTAACACTGCATCCGGGGATGGGTCTGGAGCTCTGGAGGAACTACAGGCTGTGCTTCTCCTCGCTAGTTTTGCCCTTCTGCGACCTGTGGCGCCTGGTCTCTGGTACATTGTTGGTGTGGCAATGCGGCTGGCAGTCGATCTTGGCTTGCATTACGAAGATGGAACCGACATTGACACGCTCGGGGAGGAATCGATAAACCGCACAGCCGGGAAGAGAGCAGAGAAGTCTAAAGCGCGAATCGACCACCGCGAGCTTGGACGCCGGGAATGGGTACGCGACCTGCGCCGCCGGTTGTGGTGGTGCGTTTACAGCTTCGACCGTTTAGTCAGTTGCTGCGTCGGCCGTCCGTTTGGGATCAGCGATCAAGCCATCAGTACTGAGTTTCCATCTCTGCTAGAAGACAAATACATCACTAAGTCGGGAATTGTGACTCCTCCCGAGGGTGCTCCGAGTTATAAGCACTCCGCGCATCATTACTTCAAACTGCGTCTGTTGCAGTCCGAAATCCAAGATGTGCTGCAGCATCAGCAAGCCCGGTTCGTTCGACAGAGAGCCCCATCTGTGGGTAGACGACATATTCGCCCCGACATCTCCTCCCCTTTCCTTCAAGGCTTCGATTCGTTCCGTTCGTGGCGTAGAGACGTCCACCGGCGGCTTGTGGAGTGGCAGCAAAGTGCGCCCACGCGTCGCGATACTGGAGTCAGATTTCCTATCGAGTTCCTCGAGTTGAACTACTGGCAAGCGGTGATTATGCTTTATCAGCAAAGTCTGACTGTGCCGGCTGAATTGGCGGATGAGATGATGCCGGCCGAGGATGTGTCAAGCCCGTCCTTCTCTAACGTGGATGAGGCAGAAGATGAAGATGATATCTACTATAAGGTGGCAGAGGCTGGACAAAAAGTGATCCGTATATATCGTCAGATGCACCGGGTTCGGTTGGTCAATTACACGTATTTGGCTACTCACCACATCTTCATGGCGGGTAGGTTATCTAGCTGACTTGGCTGTAGCGTATCGTGACTGACTTTATTCAGGCATTTCCTTCTTGTACGCGATCTGGCACTCTCCGTTGGTGCGCAGCCGTCTGGTACGACCTCTATTAGCGATCTGCTGCTTTGATATCATTCTAACCATATGCAGACCCTCGACGAAGTGGACTTCACCGTCCTTGCAGCCACATCCGTACTTGGAGATCTCATGCACAAGTGCCCGCCTGCAGAGGCCTGCCGTGATGCCTTTGAACGTATGAGCAAAGCTACGGTTCAGATGTGCTTGTCCACCACCGGATTCGGCTCCCAAGTAGATCTAACCCAGGCACCGACCCGGAGCACACAACGACCGACAAATGCGCCACACCCAGACCAGAGCAGACCATATGGGAGGTATGTGCAGGACCCCCGACAACGTGTGCCGGCCCGACGACAGGGCCAGGGCCAGGGCCAGGGCCAACCGCGGCCATCGCGACCAATGCCACGGTTCGACATGAACCTCGGGGACCTCTTCAACGACAACACGGCCGTCCCAGAACGCCCCAACAGTGGACCTAGACTGCCAGGACCCTATCCCGTCCGACCAGACTTCCCCGAAGCCTCTACCCCTACACCCACGTTCCCTCCCGATCGGACGATGCGGCCGCATCCCCCGCGTACCCCATCAATGGAATACTACCCTCCCTATGAGACCACCGTATCTCCACAGCCCCAACTGCACCAGTCATACTACTACGGCAACTCCCCTCAACAGAGCGCGTCGCCAAACAGCGTCAACGCGAACCCACCCGCCACCCACTATCATACCCCGGAGAACGAGCACCCACCTTCCGGTTTGAGCCTAGATTTTCTCGACTTCGACCCCACGGCCGCTGAAGGCAGCCACATGGCCGGCGGATCGGACGGACAGGGTGAATATGAAATCCAGGCGATGCCGTCATTGGGACATGGTGTGGGCCACAGCGTCGGGATTGACCTGGGCTTCGGCATGGCGATGGATTTCCAACATGATTGGAGCGAGAACGCCAATTACGACATTTTAGAAGGTTACTTTTTCGGTGGGGCGGGGAACGGACCATCTGGGGAAACTCAGTAGATTTTCTTTTACTCCATGTGGTGGAAGACATGATGATGGTTGTTTTATACCTTTCTTACTATACTTTCATGTCTATAGTACATTTCCCCTGGGTGATGGTGTGAGAAGAGAAGAGGGACCGGATGATGGACGACTTATGAAAAAACTTAACTTTGCCTACTATTTGTACATGGTTAGTTACGGTATATTATTGATATCATATTATATTCTTCAAAGTATTATAGCTAGTGTCTATAGTGTTATTCTTTCGGAGCTCTTCATCCGTATTGAAACTCCACACCGCTAAAATTTACCAAATAGTACTACTCACTGGTGTAGTGTGAAGAAAACCACCTAATAATTTTATACATCAAAGATCACTCGAGCCCAAAGCCCTGCACAATAGTAACCCCCTCTCCCTAGTACCTAATATCTATGCCTCTAAACCTTATCCGAAATGACGTTTTACTTTACATTTAGTGGCTGTTTCATCAGGCGGAGAAAAAAGAAAAGCAGGGCCCAAGACATAGCCCACCCTACTAAGAGTACTATCTACCTATCTCGTAAGTTTGAATCCTAATCCACACCTTAAAGGTAAATGTGCCCAGCCGAGAGCAAAGGTGAGGCCAACGTGGATGGAACCATATTGGGCAGCAAGAAGTTAGTTTGTCTCCAGTCAGTTACTTACTTAGTTAGTCACTAGCTAGTAGTAATCCGCTCGCTTTGAGTTGGCCGCGGCACTAAAGTAGCCTGACTAACTAATTAATTAGTTAACTAGTGTTAGTTGAGTAAAGCGATCGGGGATCACTCTTGGGTTTTGTGGTGTTAAGATGATTGTCTTGTTGGCGCTGTAGGGTGAGGTTGTATGGAGAGGGTTGGGGGTTTAAGTTTGGGTAGTAGTGGCGAGTATGATAGTTAGTATATAGTGTTAGGTAGATATTCAAGGCATAGAGAGTCGGTGGATTCAGTCTTCTTCTTCTTCTTCTTCTCCTTCTTCAAGAGATGTAGGTAGATGCGTTGGAGATGCTGTAAGACTGCCAATCCAGATCGCAAGTGGGGAAAGCACCAACTGGCATTTGAAACTGACGGGCCAATCGGCGGGGCGCTTGGGCCACGCGAACCTGAGAAAAGTGGAAGCAAACTAGCAATCCCATCCATCCATCTGCATCTCTCTTTCTTGAGGCTGCCAGCTCTTTTGTTTCCTCACCGGTCTTGCCTTGTCTTGTCGTCTCTCTTTTATTTCCCCTCCCTTCTTCTTTTGTTCTCTTTCTCTCTCTCCCTCTTCTTCCTTTCCTTGTGGGATCAACTATAATTTGGGAAAAACTGTGAAAGTGGGATCATGTGGTATTGCGCAGCCTATTAAGAGGGGGAAAACCTAAGCTGGAATCGAGTGGAGCTCTCCATAATCAAAACACTCTTCTCACCCGGCAACGCTTCCAGTATTAGTTTGACGTTGCAACACAGGTGATTTTTTTTCCCCCATTTGCTTCAATTCTATTCCCTCGTGTCTGCTAGAAATTTGCTTAAGCTTATCCCCATGCTAACCAACCAGGAAATGCCAGCGAAACGGTGAAACCATCGCTCCTTGTTGTACTCCCCGCAACCCTTCGGTTTCCGGCTCCGATCGTTCGCTCGATCCTTGCGGGCACCTCGACTTTTCTCCTGCGCTTCTCACCATTGGACGTTGATTCCGCTTCTCTGCCGGTCTGCTCTTCTTCGCCACGCCTGTGCCCTTCCCTTCTTTCCAGCCCGACCTGCAGTGCCGTTCCTTCCTCGTGATAGGTCATGTGTACAACACGATTGAACCTTGGCGCGACGATAGTGGTACACTCTCATTTCAAGTGATTCGGGAACCCGTCAATCTCTCAAAATGGTCAAGGCGGACGTGCGGAGGGATTACTACGCCGACCTGGGTCTGACCCCGAGCGCGGAAACAGAGGAGATCAAGAGGCAGTTTCGCAAGCTAGCGCTCAAATACCATCCGGATAGAAACCCCGGGAAGGAGCTGGAGTTCATCTCCAAGTTCCAGGCGATCCAGGCGGCCAATGAGATTCTCAGTGACCCTCAGCAACGACTCAAATATGACACGGATCGCTTGCGCGCCGGTTACGGCAAGCTTTACGGCCCTCCCAAAGCCAATACCGCTCGAAAGGCACCTCCGAATCCCTATGCATCCCCATATACTCCGAAACCTCAACCTCCGAAGACCCGTCCCCAGTCTTTCCATCATAGTCCATCTGCTGGCGCCCAACGCTATGCTAGCTACGCGCGAGCGGCCCCGAAACAGGCATGGGAGAAGAGGCCAGATGAAGGGCAAACACGAGCCGATGCTTACAGAGGGTTCCAGGAGATGAAGGGCAATGCTATGCCGGGTGGCTGGTCTTCTTTTGACCCCCGCACCGGTTATGCTGGCACCCCACCTAGACCTAACGGGCAGTCTCCAAGACCTAAATCTGCTTACGAATACTTCAAGAAGTCCCCCAAACCGACGAGTCCCGAGCCGACTCGGACGCAGTCCGCAAAGAAGAAGCAAGGGTTCGCTCCGCGCGCTGCTGGTGGCGATGAGCCCATGGCCGCCAATACCTCTGCGTATACGAGCGTTCCCCGGGCTGAGCGTTCGCAAACGCCCAACTCGTTTTACGCTCCAGCTCCCTCACCCACGGCTAGGAAATCAGCAGCAGCCGCGCAACATCGGGCAGAGAACACAAGTACCCCAGACATTGAACGAGTAAGAAGCAGATATGCTACTGCTGGCGGAGAGCGCACATTTTTCTCGAGTGCCGGCCTTGGACGCTCTGCTAGCATGCGCGATTCGACGGCCAGTCCTCAACCCCGTCCCAGGACCAATCCACCTAGCCCCACTCCTCCGGAGAGTGGCAGACACCGGAGCGCTAGTCCCAAGTTGAAGAAGGATAACCGGAATTATACATCTACAAGCTCGAGTGATTCGGAGGATGATGACTTCTTGGCGCGCAAGCCCAAGGCGGTCCCTAAAAGCCGGCTTCGTGCCCATAAGAAGTTCAGCGACTTCCACACTGAGAAGAGTCGTAAGACAACTGGTAAGCGATATCATCATGAAGAATTAGTCTACCGCCCGCGGTTTAAAACCTTAAAAGAGTAGCTGGGCAACCGAGTTGGTGAATGAGGATAGAATCTAGTTGCTAACGAAGACCTTCTACTTAAGGCCTAGACTCTGAGAAACCCAGTCCACCCAAGAATGCATTCGATACATCTGCATTCTTTGGCGACGGGAGTCCCCTAAAAGCGTATGTTGAACTATACCCATCAATAGGTCATAAGTTAACTGGTTTACGTGTATAGCTCCGGCGCCTCTAATGCGGACGCACATACCCCGAACAGGAGTTTCAAGAGCAGCAGCCATGAGCAGCTTCGTCAGCCATTTTTTGCCCGGAGCTGGGAAGGCACAGACTTCTTTGGTGCGGCGCAGTCAGACAAAGAGTCGCAGGATTCACGCGCACGAGGTCGAAGTGCGAACCGGGACATTTTCGGCCAAGCAACGGGCTCTACAGGTGCTTCAAATCCCAAATCGCCGCGCTCAGAGTCCGCGACCTCCCAACAGCCTACGCCTTTCGCCCAAGCGAAGTTCTCTGCCGACGCATGGATCGAGGAGCTGCGAAAGGCGAACATCTCGTGGGCCGTTCCGACTACTGATAACGCCAAGCAAGCACAGCCGACTGCCTCACAGCGCCAGAAGAGTCCCCGGAAGCAAACCAGGCCTGGAGTTAAACCCCGGCCCACTGCCCAAGCCAGTGTGGCTACTGAAGCTGAAGAAGCCGAGTCCACCATCAATGGAAAGACTACTCAAGAGCCAGCCAAGACCGATACTGCTGATGTAGAAGCTATGGACGTCGACGATGTTCCGCCTGTCAATACCACCGCACCAGCTGCAGAGCCAGAGAAGGCTAAGGTAGACGAGGTCAAGGAAGATCAGCCCAAGGAAGACCCAGCGAAGGCAATGCCCCCACCGAAGATGAGGCCAACCTCCAGGAAAGGAAAGGTTCATCACACGAAGTCATTTGACTTTTCCAACCTCACCAGCACAATGCCCTTCACACCGACCAGCAATGGCGGCATTGACGACCTGCAAGACATCCAAGCCAACCTCCCATTCGAGTCCCGCCCCAACGTCCCCAGGACAACAATGCGCGATGTCCGAGCCCGCCAATTAGTCTGTCCGAACCCACCAAAGCGACCGACCGCACCAGAACTAGTCCCCATCAGCGCAGGGTCCCAGCAACTCGGTCTCCCTCGAGCAGCATGGGAGCGCTACGCCGCAGAAATGAACACATACATGCGCGAATGGAACACCTTCAACCGCCGTATCCTGCGCCACTTCAACGCGCGCCAAGAAGCCATCGAGACAGGAATGGCTCCGAACTGGATTAGCGCCGTTGGAGACTCCGCGCGTCTCAAAGTAGACGCCCAGGACCAGGACGACGAAGACGACACCAAAAAGGCTGATGGCAATGAAAGCGACGATAGCATGGTAGCCGGCAGCGGGAAAGCCGGATTCAGCGCCTACTTGCGCGGACTGGATGAAGATGCCAAAGTCATGAAGCATTGGGAAGTCGCGAGGGAAATGCACCGAGAGTGTATTCTGAAACTTGGGGAGATGCGCGAGTGGATATTAAATGGGGGCAAATTGGTATAGTTATAGAGGTGTATGAGCATGAGCATGAGTATAGCTCGACAGAGGCGTTTAAGAGACGGCCGAGTATTATTGATACTACTACTATCGATTGCATTGGGTACGGGCGTTGGCGTTATCTTGCTTACTTACTACTTACTACTGTGGCATTTGGAAGACGGGAACACATACATGTATCATAGTTCTATCGTGGTCATGAATTCGTTTGATATTGGATAGAGAGTATAATAACGAGTTGTCATCTCATCCCTTGTCTCTTCACGCCTCGAAATCCTACATAGTATTGTCTTCCACTTAGTCAGTAGCAGGTCGCAGCATAACTACTAGGCACCCCACTATTCTATCAATCATACCAACTAGTAGTATCTTCATAAGCCACGTTCCGAAG